AAAATTCTTCAGCTTAAGTCTATGTGACTACTCACAGGTCCTGAACTCATTGATCAACTGGTGCTGCAACTCCTGGTACTGCTGTATTTCCTCTTAGCTCAGTATCTCAGTGACACCTAATGTCTGTGCTCTGTAGTACACTTCAAAGAACAAAGCAATGCCTCTCCAAATCATTTTCATAATCCAATTTGTACACCAATATAAAAACTGATCAGTCTTCAAAACAGCCTACAAAACCAGTTATACACTATAAACCCATTATTAGTATTCAAAGTCATTCTAGGGTAACACGGATTTGAAAAAATAAATCCAAAGATACGTTTTGCTCCATTAAAAATAAACCCATGAAAATCAGAATTAGACATAGTTTCTCAGGACATACAAGCAGATAACATTTCCTGTATTTTAGTTAAAATGTTTCTGAATTTTGGTTAAAGTTCCTAAGTTGCAGTAAAAAGTTACTAAATACTGAAATTTAGTAAAGTATACCAGGTCTTACTCCATTTCTATTAAACCCTCCTTTGCATGCAAAAGCTCAGAAGTTTTTTTTCTTCCTCATCTCCACCTAAAAATATGCACTCAAGAGAGGAAAAGCCAGCTCCCTCACACCCCAGTGAAACTTAATTTAACTGAACTCTTGGTGTACAAATTAACCTTATTTTCTATTCCACTAAGCTACCGGTATATAAACACACGTCCTACATAGCTAACCAAAAAGTTGTACGGAAAACACATACATTTCTAAAAAACCCCATGTATTTTACAAAGGGAAAGAACTCCATCCTACCTACATTATTTTGAAGGACAAGGTGTTATGAGCAATTTAATTTTTTTTAAGTTAAGAATTTTATGACCTACTGCATTAAACTTTATTCTGTAGTTTCAAGAAATTTGGGGAAAATTCCCCAAATTAAGACCATGTGCTCATAAACCACTCTGAAACACAAACTGCAGCGTGTATATATGACAGCATGAAATCAAACCCATATGCACACATAGACTTTAATAAAATTAAAATTGCAAATCATGTACATGACAAACACATGATTGTAAAATACTACTAATACTGTCGTACTTGCATTCCTGGGACAAACAAATTCTCTTCATCTTTTTCCACTCTTATTCCCTTCTGTAGGTTAAAAGGATTTCTGTCCTTTCTGGGATACAAACTATTCCATAATGTCAAACACTACTCCCAATTTGACTCTGAAAATTTACTTAACACAAATAATTTGTAAAAAGCCCTCAAATCCGAAGGTACAGGAACTCAAATGTTTGATCTATGCTTAGTATTTATCTTAAGATAAGCATATTACATACAAACCAGATCACATTGATGGCAAACGTTGGCTCTTTCCACTTCAATGGGAAAAATTAAAAGTGAAGCATTACAGTAATAGCACAACATTACAAACAAAAAAGCCTCTGGCACAGAAGTGAAGTGAGCTCTGTACTTACAGGTATGCTCCAGACTTGCATTCCATCACTGTATCCGATCATTAGCAGTAACGGTGGTTCATTCCCAGTGCTATGTATTTCATGGAACTCCATATTCCTTGATGTATCTAAATTGGGTTTCAATATCAACGTCATTATTGACAGGGTAGGATCAAGCATGGCTGGTATCAGTTATACCAGCTGGTGTTTGCTCAAGGCATGTTTCTGTTGTCATAAGTAAAAGCAAGCAAAGTGGTTTAAATTTTAAATTAAACACTGGAACAATACTGAAATATATTCTTTCAGGCAAACAGATTTGTTAAAGTTTCACAGAGAATTTAGAAAGCATTAAAATCTAAAACGATGGAGAAAAATCTTCTGGATTACAATGTGGGTTATCACTAAATACTCCAAAAATTTCTGTAATTCTTTCTCCAATGACTAATAAAACATGGCAAACTTTTAAAATAGAGAAAAATTTGCAAAGGACCAACAAAACAGACATTAACAAATACAGAAATTACAAATCCACTGACTGGTCAAAACTATTTGTAGATACTGTGTAATTAACCTTTACCTCAACCTTACTAAAAGAAGAAAATCCCCAGGAAGAAAACTGCTACAGGACATAATAACCAAAAATATTAAGCTTTTTTTGAGTAAAGCCTTCTAAAACTACATTTTCAACCAGGACAGAATGAACAAGAGCTCACTGCAAGCATGCAAGCATCAAAGAAAGAGAGGAAACATTGAGGATGGTGAAAAGAGGATGTACTCAGGCCCAATCAGATTAGGCTGCACAAAAGTAAATTTAAACAGAACCTGAAGGATTCTGAAGAATATTCTAAAGAGTTTTTGTTATACTGTAGAAAAGAACTTAAAGAGGGAATGCCTGAGATTTTTTTTTTAAAAAGAAAACAAACCATGAGGAAAACAAACCCACAAGCAAACAAACCTTAACTAGCCTAAGGCTGGACATAATGGGATATACAGCTTGACAGGACTTTTCCAGCTCTAATAACCATGAATCTATGAACTGCCAGCCTCTGCACCATTTCGACAGCTGGAAAATATATCATCTACCCTCTTAACCTCTCAGAAAGGCTGAAAATTCCCCATCACGACTCTGGTTGTGGTTGCTACTACTCCATCCGAGAGCAGAAGGAGCCTTTGCCATAGAGCTCTTGACGAGAAGGCAAGACAGCAGATGAGAAACAGCAATTTGCTGAAAACCTTCAATCCAGTGTTCTCCAGAAGGCAGGTCCCTTAGTTTCACAGCTGGAACAAGCAACTCCAAGATGTTCAACTAATTCAAGAAGTAACTACCTGGTAGCAGCACTCAGCCACCTCTCACTCAGTCCCTAACCTTCCCAGACTCAGATCCTTAAGTGGGGATCTACTTGATGCTCTTGGCAAAAGCTTGGTAACGATCCTCATTTTCACTTAAAAAGGTTGGAGAACTGTTTTCTGCACTGCCAGTAGCCTTTGCTGATGATTTATTAAGAGATACTGACAGTGATAAACAAGTTACATTTTAAGAATATTTTGTGGCTTTGCTCTATTATTTCCCTGAAAGACACCACGGAGTCTCCTGCTCATTTTACCCAACTGCTCCTCCTCCTTTCTAGGTTACTCTGTCTTCTGTCACACCACTGAAAATACACATGGAACCCAGACTGGATTCACAGTTAGGGAATCTGGCTTTGAAATCAAACAGTGGATGAAATAAACTCAGTCCTATGCTTTGTTTTCAACTACTTTAAGGAAAAGAAATGGATTTTTTTTTTCCATTTGCCCCTCCTCCTAAGCAAGAGTTAGTTTGCCTTTAGATGAAGTCACAAGGCCTACTTGTTCTATTTGGTAGATACTGACAAAAAGTGCAGCGATTCACATAGAATTTAGTCTATGTGGAACAAGAATGCTTAATTTTGAGTCAGCAATGCTAACAAATTTTTGTACGTGGACCTAAAAATCCCAAAAATAAGTGAGAGAAAACAAAGCCGTACCATTCAAATCTGCATTTTCAAATCTGACCCAGACGATCTTCTCCTTTTCTTCTGCTGGTGGGGTGCCACTGTAGGCCTGGACAAAGAGCAAAATGGTTGAAATAAGGAAGTTTAATACCCTTTTTTCCTGCTCTGTAGGCTATAGGAGGGAATGTAATTTAAAAAGAGAAAAATGGATACACGTATCTTACTGTCACCAGTAATCCTGTGAGGTGGTGTTTCGAAAATGAATGGTTCCATGATCAACATATACCACACTCAATACCATAACATCACCTACTAATGGAGAAACGACGTGACATATATAACAATAAGTCTTCTGGAGCAGGTTAGAAATGCCACGTGACATACAACAATTTAGTCAAGCTGAAATACAGTGGCTTCTACAACCTTTAACTTTAGCAGTTGTACACTACTCCTAAAAGCAACGTTGGAGGTTCTCACGTGAGGCACTTCCACTAATTCTAAAATTTGCTTTAATTCACTTCAAAGCTTTGTAAGCAAGCTTGAGGAAAGAAAAGAGACCTAGTTTATTTTGCTGACATGTTTTAGTTACATTTGTGACATCTTTAAGACAGGCATTTAAAAGAGAAAAAGAAAAAAAATGCAATTCCAGTAGAACAGATCCATATTTCAGTTCTGTGTTCTACAGATTTCCACAAAAAGATGAGACACAAAAAGACACTGCGAAGGAGACTTGCAGTGTAGCCAAACTGCAAGTTTCACAGTTCTCAGGAGAAACTGATATTATTGATATTAGTGACAGGGATATTTTTTACATTGGTAGTAAGAATGTGGCTGCAGAAAAAACACCTTCACTTCCAAGTGAATTATCACAAATTACTGCACAGTATTTCGGATTAAATAGGAAAAGAGCTTGTATAATCACTTTATACACGCCAGAAAAGCAACAACATGAACTAAAAATACAAATTTAAAAAATAAGTGTGGGTATTACTTTTCAAAACAAATCACATCTCATGCTTCCAAGGCAAACTGATTTATAAAATAAAAAAGAGTGTATCCTTTAACTTCAAAGGGGAAAAATGGGGTGGGGGGGGTGTAGAATGCGGCAATCCTTTAAATGAAAGTCTGACTATTTTTAATGTAGATCACGAGTCCAAAATGCATTTCATAAATTGATATTAGTGACAGGGATATTTTTTACATTATTCTTGAGGAAATTCATGACTAACCAACCAAGATAATCCTCCACATAAGCACCGAGATAGTTTCTTAGGACTAGAAACAACCAGCTGCACTGCTCCTCTGCTACAGACCACAGCTTTCCCACGGAGTAGCAACCCAAAATTCGTTTCCCTCTGCTACTGTGAGGCCCATGGGCAATGCAGAAGTGACCATTCCTGAGCTTCATACTGCTGCCACCTGCAAAAACTATGGCCAAGAGCAGGCAAAAACACTGTAACTACTCTCCAGAGAGGAGGATCCCAGGAACAGGGGGTAGGAAGGAAACCTTATTTAAAAAAGCAGAGCCCTGTTGTGCAAAACTCAGCACGCTGGACAACACCAGGTTAGGCAGAGCTCCACAGCAGCCAGGACATTCTGAGGCCAGTTAAGGAAACAGGATAAAAAAGGGGGAGAGTAAAGGAGGCAAAAAGAAACTTTCTTCTTTTCAGCCAAGGACAAAAGCTAAGGTCCAGCTAGGGTTCATACATGGATTTCCAACTACAACCCACAAAAAAACTTATTTGTAAGAGGCAGAGCATGTATTGTGCCCAGTCTCTCCCCTCCCCAGCTATTCCATTGCCAGAATTACCTTAGGAAAAGGCCACGATCTTCTTCCTGCTATTTATATTGTAATTCTTCAACATCTATGTAGCTAAGATTTTCATTTTAATTATCATCCACCTGTTGCTCACCAGCCTAGGCTGCAGCTCCAAGGATGTCCTTGCATCTCTCTCAGCCAGGAGGAAATGGCCCACCTTTTGTAGGCAGGGCCTAAACCTTAATTAGGTAATTACCAACTCAAGCCAGCTGGGTGATAGCCATATCTACCAAAGGAAATCTGTTAGCCCAATCTTCAGGTGGCACACAGTCTACAATTTCAAAAACCTGGTCTCAAGATTCACATTCAAAAAACTGAAAAATTTGGGGTTTGTTTTTCAATTATATTTTGGTCTACCCTGACACACACTGCGACTGCTTTGTCAAAAAAAAAAAATAGTTTTAAAGATCTACACATACCTGTGGCACAACATCCTGAAGAAATGTAACAACGCTTTCCATATACGACTGTTCCCTTGAAAACAGAAGGAGAATTTTAATACCAAGTTCAGAAATGGTTGTGAATATATTAAACATGACTTATCACCAGAGAAAACACGTACAGGCTTCAGTGCAAAGGAAATACTCAGTGTGCAAAGCTGTTACTTAACACACCACCACTCTGATAACACAAATAGTAGTCTAGATGTCTAAAAAAAGTTAAGTGAAACCTGTTTATGAAACAACTGCTTGGGGGAAAAGTATAAAAGGTAACAGTCAAGAAAGAAATCGTGTTCTCCACATCACAGCGACCGACTGAAGTAGAACAGGAACTTGGAAATCATTCTTCAGTATTTTTCTCCCTGATTTGGCTCATACACCTCAAACACAAGGACTTGGGCTATGCATTACATACAGTGATGGAGTAAGTGGTCACGTTGGAGGCAGGAGATGGAACAAAACCCTAAGAATAGTATGGAGAGGCACTTTCAGTAAGATTTTATAGCTTGGGAAGCTTGTTCCTTCCTGGAAGTTCATTAGCAGCAATGATTTGGAATAGTATATAGTGCAAGATGCATTTTTCTGGAAGATTTAAACTCATGCTTTTATTAGCTTATCCCTTATTAGCAGCGAGTCTCTTGTGTAACTGCTGAGCAACGTACAATGTGGGTTGACTACGAGACAGCCGGTGTTGAAACTACCCAAGAAGTTTGTGCTTTCTGCAGTGAGCAATTCTGAAATGTGCTGGAAACAACAGCTATCCATAAGGTCTGAAACCAAAAAAACTATATATTAACTCTTTAGGTGACAGCTTTGGCAGCCTCCAAATTAGTTTTTAGATTGGTAGTAATTTTTCTTGTGCTAACTTTAGATTTCTAATAGCAACAAAGAAAAATCACAAACTAGGAAATCCAGACTCTTGCTGTTCAAAGGTACACTCGCTTTCTTTATCCCTTCTGAAACTGTGCTGCGTAAGGTTCTTGTAAGAAGAAATTGGAGCATTCACTATTTAAGAACTAAGTACTCTGCCCTGTACACAGCGACACAGAAGATACTTCAAGTCAAAGGCAGCAACATCTGGATCAGCTTAACTGGTTGACTCCTCTCTGAGGAGAAAGATAAATCTAAAATAAAGTTATAAATTTTGGAAAGCTTATTCCAACTCACGACAGAACTAGATTTTGTTCAACAATCCAAGGATTACTGCATCAAAGTCTGTCTTACTGCTTTAAGCTTAGGCCTTATAAATGAGCTGTGTTTTCCAGTGCCAATTCTTCTTTGATTTATGTAGGTCAGCAGAACTGTCTCTGTGTGCCTTCAGAGCCCTTCATTACCCAGCAGTAACACTTGTCTGCAGGTACAGCATTAGAGACAGTGTTTGAAGTTCTCCTGTGAAAGCTTACCAGCCAGAGTCATACTGCCTTCATTTCTCAGCTCATGAAACGAGGGGGGCTTCCTTTCCTCCCCCCACGTACACCTTGAAACAAAGCTGATGTCTGAGAAATGTTTTATCCAGTGTATGTTCTCTAAATCTCCCCTGAAGTCAAAAAACCTCCAAGAAGATATCTTTAAAGTGCTTAAAAACAACAAAACCACCACCACAACCCACCAAAAAAAAAAAACAAAACTGTTAGTAAGAACCTAGGAACTTTATATAAACAGGAGAATGCTGCAGCACGCTGCTCAACACACACAAACTCTCATCAAAAAGACTGGAACTTCTGAGGTGGAAAGATGCACCTCAAGTACAAGGCACCATATTCAATAAAACAAAACGACAGGTAATCTTACTCTCACAGTGTTTTTCTATCATGTTTTAAAGCGTATTTTGAAGAAAAGGTAATTACAAACAGAAATGCATGTGTTGAGGAATGCTGCAACATAAAAAAAGGCGTATTCCACCCCATGGCTGTAAGATAAACCTCTAACACTACTTTTTGTGTTACAACAATCGGTTTCTTGTGCTCTCCAGTAAAAATAAAGTGAATCTTGACACTGAAATACACAGCTGTCTCCAGTGGCAAACTAATAGTCGCTGAAACTGATAGTACACATGAACATTTCAATACCATCTCACAGCAACAACTCAGCAGTACAAATATCCCCAGCAAAAAAGAAGAATTCCTACAAAAATCCTTTAAGAGACAGAGATAAGACCATAAGTCTTCTAGACTGTCTTACTGAGCTCTTTTGCCATGAAAGTATTGTCATGAGAACACAGTGGAAATAAGGATGCCCAAGCAAAAAAAGGATCTCTTAGGCACTCTGACTGGAGACAAGAAGCTTCTTCCTTCGCTCTCTTAAGCAAAAAAAATAAGAATCCCCATTGCTACTTACTGAAGGACTTTAATGACAGACTTGTATGTTTTCATATATCCATCCCTGTGACAAGGTATTATTAAAAAGAACATCAAGAAAGGAACATGCTACGCATGCTCCTCCTAGCCTAAGGAAGAAGCCCGCAGTCATTGACCTACAGCTCGTGTAGTGTTTGTACAGCAAACCAAATGTGTAAACAAGGAAACGCTGCAATATATTCATCTTTAAAATGTACAGCTTTGAAAGTTTTGGTGTATAAGCAACAAGCATCCCGTTCAGGGAGACAGTTTGACCTGCTCAGTCCTAGGAGAGAGGAACGCAACACCTGTTTACTTTATTTTATTGGAAAATATTCAACGAAACGAAACTGTACTGTCAACAAAAGCCCTCACAGCTGGTTTTGAAAGAAAATTCAGGCTCGGTTCTTCTAGAAGAAAATAAAAACCATTTCAAATAAGGGCTATTCCTCTAGAACGTGCTTACGTGACAGCTTGTGGGCGAACCACCACTCCTCCAGTACATCGACTGGGGCGGCGCGGAGATTCTGTCGCCATCGTTGCTTCGCAGACACCTGGAAGAAACACATTTCTTTTTAACAATGATTTGTATCAGGAGTAATTATTACACTAGTTCTTAACATATCCTTCAGGATGATAAAAACTTCTTGAAGAAAGAAGCTTATAGAAACCTGTAAGGCACTATGCTCCTCCACAGCACTTTAAAAAAAAAATCCAAACAACTACTTTTTTCAGTACCTCTATCACTACAGCTCCTGAAACGTATGTGAAAGCAAAAAAAACCACAGACCTGCACGATAAAGTGGAAAATATTGAAACTGTACATTAAAGATAGTGGTGCAGGTGCAGAGCTATCATTACCATTTTATAAAATCATTATTTACTAATGGGCTGTTGTCTCAGAAAATAACTATACCAAAATAATGTACAACCACAACTGCAGCGTATTGTGCTCTCGAAAACCTGTCATTGAAGCTAACTCAGAGTGATGTAACACATTCCGCTTTTTTTATGTCAGCTTTTTGTGTCATCTTCATTTTTTCTCTACATGAAGGTGCAGTGCAACGTTCCCAAAACACAGAACACCTGGGGAGCATCACAAATCCCAGCCACCTCCTCCAGTGCCGCCCCACGGCCGCTCTCCCCGCCCCAAACCAACCACCTGGACATTAACGGGGAGAAAAAGCCAAATCCCCGACGTGGTGTCGGTCACCGGCACCACTCCACGCCCGGGCAGCCCCTGTCAGCGCCGCCTCATTAAGTGACGCGGGGACTAATCACACCGGAATTAATCACAACACACTCAGCGACACGACTCAAGTCTGACACGCGCGCCGAGCGACTCCGCAAGGCAAAAACCGGCACGTAAAGGGTAAAACAC